TATGATTTGGCTCTGTCCCCACCCAAATTTCGCCTTGAGTTATAATAATCCCCACATGTCAAGGACAGGGCCAGGTGGAGATCATTGAATCATAGGGCAGTTTCCCCCACCCTTTTCTCCTGGTAGTGAATAAGTCTCACACGATCTGATGGTTGTTTAAATGCGGAGTTCCCCTGCACATGTTCTTCTTGCCTGCTGCCATGTAAGACATGACTTTGCTCCACATTCAACTTCTGCCATGACTGTAAGGCCTCCCCAGTCATGTGGTATTGTGAGTCAATTAAACCTTTTTCCTTTATAAATTACCCAGTCTTGGGTATGTCTTTCTTAGCAGCATGAGAATGGACTAATACAAATATATATAGTTAAAGTAATGTGGCAAAAGACTTCAAAAATGTCATCACCTTTCTTGTAATGAAATAAATGGAATAAATCACCAGAAAAATATTGAGAGATTTCATGAAACAAATTTTAAACTTTGGTATGTCAAAAGCAAAGTAAAAGGCAAAGATAGGAAAAATTTATAACAAATGACAGTGTATTAGTCTGTTTTCATACTGCTATAAAGAACTACCCAAGACTGGGTGATTCATAAAGGAAAGAGATTTAATTTACTCACAGTTCAGTATGGCTGGGTAAGCTTCAGGAAAGGTACAATCATGGCAAAAGGAGAAGGGGAAACAAGGAAACTTTGTTACAAGGCAGCAGGAAAGAGAGGGAATGCAGGAGGAACTACCATACACTTATAAAACAATCAGATCTTGTGAGAACTCACTCACCATCATGAGAATAGCATGAGGGAAACTGCCCACATGATTCAATTACCTCCATCTGGTCTCTCCATGGAAAAGCAGGGATTGTGGGAATTATAGGGATTATAATTTATGATGAGATTTGGGTGGGGAGACAAAGCCTAACCATATCAGACAGACAAAATACTAATTTCTGTCATCATAAAACTCATGTAATTTCATAAGAAAATATTGAAAAGCCAATGGAAATATGGAAAATGACCCGAAGAAGGAAATCAAGGTGATTAATAAATAGTACCAAAAATATTAACCTCATTATTAATCGAAGCAATACCAATTAAAACCATAGTTCTTATCTGTCAAAGAAACAGACATTTTCATTTATCTTAATGGATGTAACTCATTTCTAATTAGAGATCTATGAGATAGACAACTTATTAAATAGCTGATAAAAATACAAATTTCACATACTGTACAGGAAATTGTACTGGAAATGTTTATGACATATATGTTTTGATCCCGTAATACTACTTCTAGAGATTTGTCTGAAAGAACTTTTCATAAATGTTGGCCAGTATTTATGTCCAACAATGGTATTGTTTATTTATAATTGTTACAGTATTATTTATTTATGTCAGTGAGAAATTGTAAGTAGGGTAGAACTGCAATAATTACAGGAAGAGACTATTTTCTTTCCATAGACTGGAATATTATGAATTATTAAGCATTTTTGCCTTGAAAAGTTTTTTATATGTATGATATAGTGTAAGTTG